CGTGAGCCATGGCCGCTGAGCCTGCGCGTCCGGAGCCTGTCCTCCGCAACGGGAGAGGCCACAACAGTGAGAGGCCCGCGAAAAAAAAAAAAAAAAAAAAAAAAAAAAAGAGAGAGTTTAGCAAGGTTGTTGTATATAAAATCTGTGTGTGTGTGCCTGTGAGAGTGGATATGTGTTGTGTCAATTGCATTTCCATATGGCAGTAACAGAAAAATTAAAAGTCTAATAAAATAATTGACTTACAACAGCAACCAAACTAAAAATGCCTTGAAGTAAATTTTTAAAAAATATTGTGCAAGTTCCTTGTGGATAAAAGTACAAAACTTTTTATTGGAAGACGTTAAAGAAGATACTAATCAATGGAAAGATTTACCATACTAATGGATCGGAAGACTCCGAGTCAAGAAGAGGTCAAAAATCCCCAAATTCATCTGCAGATTTAATACAATTCTTAAAAATACTTGGGGGAAAAAAGATCTTTTTGTGGGACCTGACAAAATTATTCTGAAGTTTATATGAAAGAATAAGCAACACACTCCCGAAAAAAAACCAAGGTGTATAGATTTGCTCTATCAGACATCAGTAGTAATTAAAATAGTGTGCATTGATGCACAGATAGACATTGGTGCACAGGCTGACCACCATTACAGAACAGAGAGCCCAGAAACAGACCCACACATATGTGGAAATTTGATTTATGAGAAAAGGCATGGCAGAGCAGTGGGGAAAGATGAGTCATTCAATAGGTGGAACTGGAACTGTTGGTTATCCATTTGGGGAAAAATAAAGGAAATTGACTAACGCACACACAGAACAATTTCCAGTGGATTAAACATTGAACTATGTATGTATAGTTATACATATATATTGGTTTGACCAAAAAGTTCATTTGGGTTTTCCCATAAGATCTTAAAGGAAAAAGCTGAACGAACTTTTTGGCCACCCCAATAGAGAGCTAGATAATGTAAAAGAATATATTTATGATATAGAGTAGAGAAGAATTTCTTAAGAAACAAAAAACAGACCATAAAAAACTTGATAAGTCTGACTGCCGAAAAATTTTAAAGGTACCAACAGGCACAATAAAGAGAATAAGCTAAACAACATACTGAGAGAACTTTTTGCAACACATTTATCTTACAAATGCTTAGAATCCAGAATATATAAAGAACTCTTACGAATGAATATGCAAAGACAAACTCAACAGAAAAATGTCAAAAGACTTGGATAGGCATCTCCCAGAAGAGAAAACATGAAAGGCTCATCAATATATAAAAAATACTCAATCTCATTAGTAAACAAGAAAATAAAAATTAAAATGACAGTGAAATGCGATTTTATGTTTACCAGGCTGGCAAAATTTTAAAGTTTGACAATACTAAGTGTTGGTGAGGATATGAACCAATGAAATTGTTCAAACGTTGCTAATGTGTATGTACATTGATTCAAACATTTTGGAAAAGAGTTTGACTTTACCTAGTCAAATTGGACATAGACATATTAAATGACCCAGAAATTCCACTTCAGGTTTTGTAATCTAGGAAAAGTCTTGCACTTTTGCACCAAGAGTCACAGACAAGAATATTCATCATAGCATCATTCGTCATACTCAAAAAAATAAAAACCTCAACACAACCCAAATGACAATCAATAACTGATTGGATTAATACATGGTGATAAATCTGTACAGTGAAAAGGGATGGCTCACAGCCACACACATTAACAAAAGTAAGTCTCAAAAACATATTGTTGAAAGAAAAAAGCAAGTTACAGAAGAATTGTACTATAAGATTCAAATGATTTTAAAAAACATCAATGTAAACAATATCTTGTTTA